CACACACGTACACACATACACACACATTTTTCATCATAGGCAGCAGAAGCATCATCTTGTTCAGGCTCATAAATAATTTCCTGCAGCTCAAGTCTGGCCTGGAAACCTGCCTTTCACTCCATGCCATCCACTCCCCCTCTCCGAGTACAACTCTCTCTCTCCCTCTCTCTGACTCTCTGCCATCTCCTCTCCCCCTCCCACTACACTGATCCTTCTCTCTCCTCCTCTGTGTCACTCCCTGCCATCCACCACTATCCCTCTCTCCCTGCTACAACCACCATGCTCGCCTTGGCTCTGTGCCCCCCCGAGTCGACCCCTTCTTCTAGTACAACACTCTCTATCCCTCTCTCCAGTGCTTTACTTGTAAATCAGGAAAACTCTCAACAGCAGTGGGGAGGGGGGGCTGGGGTGATCTAGGGGGTCAGGAAACGCATCAAAACCACACTGCCTGGAGCGCATTAGACAGGGTCTTGGCGCAGTATCTAAATGCTGTCATGCAATAAACAGTGTGTGGCACTGGATTTACATTTAGCACATTGGCAGACAATCTATTTCTCCAGACAACACTAGACAAAAAATACATGACTAAATATTGGAGACACCCCTGAAGCAATAAGCCAATAATAATAAGGAATTATTATAACAAGGATACAGCTGGTCACTTATCAAATTAGACGACATCTAAGTAGTTCAAACATGATGGGATGTGAATGAAACTTTCATTTCATTATTAAATGGAGGATATTTCAGTTATCAAAAGTCATATTATTAATTTGTTGCAACCATGTTGTAAGCTAGAAATGTAACACAAAACATGATAATATTAGTAACTCATGTTTAGAAAGGATTACTGCTTGCTATTTAAAATGCCATCTATAGGTGGGGGACTACATTGTCAATAATAAGTTACACTGATGAAAATGAAAATATGAACAGTAACTGCAGTGCCATTATTGCGTATACTGATGCTTTGTTGTGGCTGTGCACCTGCATTTAGTCATATCCATGCTACATACACACTGTGCAGTGTAGCCATTATTAATTACTGAAAATACTCATTTGTGGTACAAAATTGTCTTAATTGACATGTCAGAGAAAAATAAAGAACTATAAGAACAAAGTATCAGTGAATTAAGGACTGAAGGGTCTCACAATATATCGGTACTAAAAAATGTAATATTGATATCATGTTAATAATAGACAAATAATATCTTGTTAATAACCCAGCGCCTCTTAAACAATTTCCGTTTCTTTACATTCTCAATTTTTGCTTCACGCTCCAACATAGGTGGCAATAAAGGACCTCAACACTCATTGCCACCCACCATAAACAGAAAAAAGAAGATGTAACTACACATATACAGTAACTAGCTAACTAGCTACTACCACACAAAAAAGAGACAAAACAAAGTAAAAGTTAAAGATGAATGTGACTGATAGCATTTTTTATATATCTCACAATAATATTGTTATCATAAATTATTTTGGCCATCATAAGTGCAAAGTAAAACAATATTCAACCGCAGAACCACAAATTAATTGTTATACCTTTCTTTGAAGTCAAATTTATTTTCTACTGGTTGTCCTTCAATAAAAGACCAAATCCTGACACTTGAATTATGTGAATGTGCGTTGATTTACTGATCACTCCCAACATATTCAGCTGCCTCTCTGTTTGTAGTCAAGTATTATTCTTTACTTAAGTGAAAGCAGAAATATCATAGAAAATACACTGTTACATGTAAAAGTCCAATATTCAAAATCAACTTAATTAAAGTTTTAGCATCAAAATATGCTTAACGTACAGAAAGTAAAAGTATTCATTATGCAGAATGGCCCATTTCAGAATATTGTATTACATAATATTATTACATTATAATTACTGATGCATTAATTGTTATCACTTTAATGTTGCAGCTTGTCATGGTTTTGATTACTTTATGTATGTAAATTTATTTTGCTGCGTAGCTTAACAATAACAAAAATAATTAATTAGTCTATTTGTACAAATAATGATATTTCAGCAAACAAATCTGAAGCTAATATTCATTTTTAACTTAAACACATAACAAAAACAAAGTTTTTTGATTTGGACCGCATATTTGTTTTTCAAAAAAATGTGACCAAGATATATACTGAATGGGACATCTCACCATAGAAAATAAACTTGTAAGTGCTCTCGGGGGGCCAACTATTCAATGGTGACACTGTTTCTAAATGACCTCCAGTATATCTGTGGCATTTCTCTTCAGTCAGGTGATGTATAGTTTCCCCTGACCATGTATCAGTCTTAAGAAAATGCATGGTTGTAGGTTTGGAGGAAAGGGGAAGTCATGAGTAGTCATGGGTTCTTCAAACAGTGAAAAATTATACATGTGGTCTTGCTTTGTGGGCACTGAAATTCAACACAAATTCCATTGTCATGTTTAGATTTCCCCCTTTTTTTCCTCATTGTCAGGGGAGAGGGAAAGCAAAAGGACAAAGAATGCATTACTTGCCCATCTGTTTATGTCTGATGAGTGAGAGCAGAAAGTGGCACAGAGAAACTCATTCACACATCCTTATAATGGAAGCTTGGTGACGTAGTGACGAGTTGCAGGGCATCATGTGCTTGAGGTACTGTAGCTGGTAACAGAAATATACATGTAGATATTGCACTAGCCTTTGCCGTTCATTGGAGCAACGTGTCAACACAATCCCAATATTGGACTGGTCTTAAAATGTGGCTCCTCATACCAAAATACTTACTAATATAATATTTAAGACGAGCTTACCCTGTGTAATACATTTCTAAGTATATGAATTTTTCTTACTGCATCAAGAATGACTGCCATGATGTTATTTTGTTTATAATTTTGGTAATAAATGATCATTTACATTGCAAAAAATACATGTGAATTTAAACGCCAGCAGCGATGGCTCAGTTCCTTCAAGTGTCCCAGTGACAGTGACAGTTTCCTGCTATGACATGTCACAATGCCTGCTGTGTAACCAGTCGATTAAAGTGATTATAAAAGATGCAGGTGAGACCGCACCCTAAAACTGCAGTTGGAGTTTTTCTGCATTCCTAAAATGTCCCACAAATATAATAAGTACAGTAAGCTATGGTACAGTGTGACCACCTTGTTAACTCCAGCAAATGTAATGCCCATGAGACAAAGTTAGACTATTTAGACAGCTCTGTAATATAATAGCAAATATACTTTGTGTATCCACGAAAAACAGCCAGTCAGCGAGAGGGGGAAACAGAGACAGGGTGGAGAGGAAGGGGAGAGGTGGGTGAGAGGGAGAGATGGAAAGAGAGGGAGGCAGGTTGGGTCTGGGGATGAGTGTCTGGTCCCTAAGGCTGTGTGTGTGTGTGTGTGTGTGTGTGTGTGTTTCAGTCAGCCTACTCTCACAGCTCAATAATGATAAATAAGTCAACCTCCTCTCCCCTCCCCTCAACCCCTCTCCCTGCTCCTGTCACATATACCCCTCCTCTGTTCATCTACCCCTCCACTACACTCCCAGTGGTAATGAAGCAACAGTAGGTACTAGCTGACAACTGTGTAGACCAGAGTTTCATCTATATTCATTCTGCTATAGTGGGCCACCACAGTAAGACCCCTTCTACCTCTGAGACACAAAACAACATCCATCCATCTCCTTCTCCCCCTCTACCTGTTCACTCTATATATTAATCTCACCACCCACCAAAATGTTCCTTATTCAGCAGCAATGGCTGACCATGCAACAACGCTTCAAAAAACAACACCATAATATCTCATGACGTAGCACTGGGCCGTACTCAGGGTCCAAACCAAAATATGACCAGGTCAATCTCTAATCCTGAGCTTAATGCAAATGTTGATATATTACCTGTATCTTTATTCACATTTAAGACACAGCTTGATCACTAGAGACATGTGTCATTTTGTTATAAAATTATACCAGCCAAAGTCATAATTTAGCATCTTTTTGTGACAGACTAATATAAGAGGTGAAGCATAAGCGTAATTACAGAGAGGAGAAAAAAGAAAGAAAGCGAGAAAGCCAGCAAAAAGGAAAGAGCTACCTATATTCCTGCTTGTGTTTCTGCTCCATCTACTGTATGTGTGTCTGGAGGGTCCTAATTGCTGCTGAGGTCAGGCTGCTGAGCAGTAAAGGGTTGTGTTTGATGCAGGTAAGAGAGTGTGTGCGTGCATGTATGTGTGACTGCTCTGCATGCCCTTGACTTGCAGCTGGCAAACAACGCTTTAGGCCCCCACAGCTGCCTCATCATTACTGTTCACAGGGATCCCCTGCTACACACTCGCAAACACACACACACACACACACACACTCACAGGCACACACAGTGAGAGAGACTTAGTCACAGCTACACAGGCACAGACACAAAAACAGACACACGCAGACATACACAGAGACACTCACCCCTTCCCGCAGGCTCCTCATTAAGCCAGTGTAGGCGGCAGCGGGAACGAACCACAGTCCCTCTGGGGAGCCTCTCTTCTCCTCCTGATAGAGAGACGTAGAAAAGGCAGGGAGAAAGGGTGAGAGGAGAGAGGAGGAGGGGGTACAGAAGGGGGGCGGGGGGGGTCGACAGTAGAGGAGTGGAGTGGGAGTGAGAGCAAGGCAGAGAGATAATGTGGAGGAGATGCAAGTAGAGAGGAGTGAGGAAAAGGGCAAGAAAGGGCCAAGTCGGGAGGGGAGAAGGGAGCAAGAGGTCCCATGACATCTTGATTACTTGGTGATGTTGTGTTGAACATGCTTTCAGAACCATTTTCTCTATCATTTTCTTCAAAATATTGATATTACTCAGGAAGATAATATGTGTGAGCATTATACATGTTTTCTTGTTTGTGTGTTCAATCATCTAACTTATTTTTCACATAATAAAAAAGGTAGAATAAAAAAAAGAGAATAATTTAAACTTTACCCATACTCATGAAAGTTTTAATTTAAAATTCACAGGACAGGAAAGTACTTTTATGATAATTTCCTCTCTCAGCTACTTTAACAATAATCCATTAATCTTTCAATCTATAAAATGCCAATCAAGGTGAAATCCTCACATTTCACAAGCTAACCCAGAAAAGTTTGGCATTCTTACTATTCTTTTTTGACCTATTCTTTTATTATTATTCATCATCATCTGATAATAATGAAACATGTACTTCTTTTGCTGAAAAACACACGTTATATACTGTCATACTAGCACTGTTTTACAGGACACAAATTCGGATTATTTCAACCAATACTTTTTTACTTTTCATGAAACAATGCCCCATTCCATTGCTGCTTTGCTAGGCTCTAGGCTATATCTAACCTTGAGAATAAAGACAGCACTGGAGGCTATAGCTAATCATTGTCATTGACTTGTGCTGCAGAAGAAGAGAGGAGCAAAGCAGATGATTTTACCTGGGGACACTTAAAGGGCCATTCCATATAACTCAAATTAAACTGTTTCTCCTGCCTTTATATAGGCAAAGTGATTCCACCTGTTGGGAGGAGTTCACATCCTGAGTTGAACTGGTTGTAATGAAAATATTAGCTGATGCTGTTCAAAGAACTTAAATATTAGGGTTAATCCCCAATGAATCGCATTTTTGGCGGCTGCCACATGCTTGAAAACTGGCATGGCGGTGGTGATTTTTTTCTATGGGTCTCGCACATGAGGGTTGCAAAATGGCTAAACTACACCCCCAAGACAAGTTTGACCGATATGTATGAAAATTGTTACGCACGTGTATCCAGACAAACAAAAAAGCCTCTTGGACCCACACACGAAACCCAACAGGAAGTTGGCAATTTTTAATTTTGTGCTCATTTACTTTTTCGGGTTGTATTTTGACGAAATCCTCCTAGGGAATTAATCGGATCGACTTAAAATTTGGTCAATGCAATCAAAAAAGACACAATTAAAAGTTGTATTATTTGTTACTGTGCATCAAAATCCATAGCTTGGCGTTGAATTTTGACATATTGCCATGAAACAGAGAGTTGTCATAACGTAAGTGCACTTTGCCCAATCTCAACCAAACATCACATGTTAAATCCTACCTTCAACACATCTACATGCAAATATTCAGATATAGTCAAAGCAACACCTACTGGAAACAGGACGTAACCCTTGTGTGTCAATCATCATCTGATTTAGTAGAAATTTTCACAGTGTGGTCCAAACATGATGGTCACGCATCATTGCTGCTTGCAGCTTTGATTTATTATTATTATAACTGAAGGGTTTCAACACCATGTGCTACAAATGATGCCTCAAATAATATAATTAGTAACGTTTTCTATGGTCAAGTACTATTTCAGTAAACTTTTTGTTGTCATTTGTGGTCATGTTCTATTTTAGAAAACATTTTCACCATACCAAACTGTACCCATCATATGGGAATAGTCTGAAAACTAAAAACCTTGAAACAGTCCAAAGTCCAATAAAAGTTCATGTTTCTGTGGTGTTTTTCAAGGTTGTAAATTATATCTAACCTTGAGAATAGAGGCAGCAATGCAGCTGTTCATTGACACTGAAAACCCACCAGACAGCCAACCAGCCAGTCCACCAGGGGACCCTTAAAAGACTCAGAACAAATCAAATAACTACTGGGTTTTTAGAGCTATCAATTTCTTGACTGGCGCTGCTGGAGAAACATCAAATTCTCAAGCCAAAAACTGAAACAAGGGATATGTCTGAGACAGAAGCCCACACAGCACTAAAAGTTGTGCTAATCATTGTCATTGACTGGAAAACACAAACAGCTGGAGATTTTTAAAATCCAATCCTCAATCCAAAGCCAACAAGCAGGCAGCTTTACACAAGAAGGTACCACTCACCTCTCTAATCACTAGCATTGCTTAACTATAAGAAACCTGGTATCTTGACAATTTGTAAGATAAAAATTGTGCCAAACCTAAATTTAAAATATAGAAAACCTAGAAAGCACAGTAAATCAATGTCATTGGAAAAAGCAACCAGTATAAGCAGCCATTCAAAGCAATGCATATCTGTCCATGGTTCTTAGAGCTCTACCAGGGACATATTTTGGCAGCATATCAACAATACAGTCAGGGGAAAGTCCATCAACACATTTATAAACAAGTAAAAGCATCTTTTACTATTTATTCTAAAAATAACAGCCAGCACTGGGACTCTACAATACAAGTAAAGTGAGCTCTTCTGTGCTTCAGTTACAGCTTCCTGTACACGTCATTATATTATTACAGACTTTTTGGACAGACCTAAGAGCAAATCATTGTAGTTGTGTACCGGTAATCTTCTTGATACACAAGTATGCAGTTTCACTGTAGAAGGGAGAAAAAGGAGAGGCCAGAACTTTGGATTGCCTTTAAGCAAAATAATGCTGTTTTGACTGTGTTTCCTGAGGTAGAAATGTATGCAGCTTTTAGCAATATAAGTCTTCCATTACTCCTCATTACATCCTTATTTACTCTGTTTTACTAAACGCCTCATTCACTAAAATAAAGTTACTTCAGTGACATTGAAAAGAGCACCACCCCATTGTGCTAGAACATGTTATAGAAAAAGAAAAAAGATTGAAAAAAATGCGAATAAAGAAAATAAAAATCTTTTGTTATTTGTTTCTTACCCTAACTAACTCACAGTTACATTTTCAAGGTGCTGTTTAACACCTGGCCATGGTCACTGTGTTATTATTTGTCAAGAACACACTGGCAACAATGGAAAAACACTTGAAAGTCAGTTTATTAAGAGCTACTGCAGGACACTGATGAGATTTCTCATGGCTTCAGGAGAGTAATAAGTGCAATCAGGCAGGGTGATTGATTTTTGAAGGTTATTCATCAGTCGTGTAAACAAAAATCTAACACTTAATCGACTTGCCTGGCTAGACTGAGGTTAACCAGATATAAATTGGGATCACCTTTTCTAATGAAGTCAAACGAGGCCTCCTCCACTTTCTCTCTTGTAATTGTGATTTTTAGGGCTGGGGGTCAACTCGCTTTCAATTTAATTTAGTCAGTGTGCAAATCTAAACTCCATTACTTAATCACAGAGCACTCAGTTTCATTCATTTCACTCAAGATTGGCATTTCTTGCTGACGTAATAGGAACATGTCATTTGATCTTGCACTTGGCGTCAATGTTGTGCTTGATTCACTTGGACTCATTAACTCAAAAGAAAGCAGTCATTTCACATTAATTATTTCAGAGAAGCCGTTCTCTGATGATTTTCACTATCCACATTTAAAAAACCATCTCTTGGGGGCCTCCTGAAGGGCTTGAAGTGTAATGTGCATACTACATGAACAGTGTTATGGGCTAGTTGGTTTAAGTTTGGTTTGCACAGTTTGAAAAGCAAACTAGAGGTGAGCAACTTTACAGTTTGCCAGCCCTCTGTTGTTTGAGGTTGTGATTTATCAACAGGATTAACAACAAGTGGATCACTGCATTCATTGCATTTCTCACAGGATGTAAAAATATCCATGACTTAATTGACTTTTTCCAGTTATTTCATTAGCAGGTCCAGTGTGTAGCAGTAGGCCTCACCAATATTAAGAGTACTTATTTCAGCTTTAATTCATGACCTGACAAACTATAGGATGCCGATTCCTTCCATCAAAATGTAGCAGTCTCAGAGAGACCCAGATAGCTGATTTCTTCTAGTGTGGTCAGCTTAAGTGACTTACAAAATGGCAACATGCCAAATTCAATACCCTGATTAGACTAATAACAATTCAAACAGTAAGACATACTTTACCAAAGATCTGGCACAACAACTGAATTATTTTCACAAAAGCTGGAGAAATATTTACATTCACTCAATGACAGTAGCTGGACCACCTTTGTTTTTCAATCCTTCAAACGGCCGTATATAGTATTACTTATTCAAAAAGTGCACACTAAATAAACTGCAGAGGTGATGTATCTAATTAAATTGGAAATAATTGCATATTCATGTTCACAGCGATAGCATTAGTGGTTTCCCTCTTGTCTTCAAATCCCTGCATTTCTCTGAATCTTTTGTTTGACTTTCCAACTAGAGTTAGGCAGATTTTCACACATAAGCCAGTGGTCAAAGACCTGTCCAAAAAAACAATAAATAACGGCTTTGCCCTGTCTAATAAAACAAAAATACCAGAAAAATACATTTTAACTTTAATTATGTCTCTTTATATTGGCTTCTGTCATACAGTGTCTACCTGAGAGGTGATGAGGTAGAGGAACTCCCCGAGTGGTGGCAGCAGGAACTGTTTTATTTTGCTATTCCTCAGGTTGTCTCTCAACAGGTCTGTTAGTGTGGACACAGCCTGTAAAGAGAGAAGAGAAAGAGAGAAATAGTTTCATCAGCATTTCTATTTTCTTTTCTTGCAAAATCAAATAATAACGTGCTGTTATTAAACAAAACAATTATGACAAGAAAATTTGGTATCAATAACATTTCCTCAATTAGTGTGGGAATAATTACTTTGGCATCACAAATTCAATTTTCACAAAAAAAAAAACTATTTAAATGATGATTATGGGACTTTTTTTGGGTTGTACATCTCTCGAGAACCAGATTTATCTCTGCAGACCTACAGAACTTCAATAATGCTTTTTGTCTCACATTTTACCTTTATCAAAAAACTGCAGCTTCTGTGATTTATGAGATTTCGATACTATTTTGATTATTTGTGCAGCTCTAGTACTCATCACAGTGTACTATATGAAAAAGTAGGCTGGTCCTCACTAGCAAGACTAGAACAATTTATATTCATAAAGGTCTCACACAAAAGCTGCCTGTATACCCTTTTCTCAAATGTAAAACCACTGCTCACCAGACCAGATCTCAGCCTTCAACTGCTTTGCAACTTATAAATGTAATGAATTACAGAGGATTTTAAAACTTGAATATTTCATATTTCATCCCACTGGCTGATTTTTAACATTTAACTTTAACTTAATTTCTTTAGCAACGTTTGTGACTGTCTCTGATGCTGTTTATGCTTTTGTTGTTAAGTCTGGCTACATCCGTTGTATGTTATGCACTTTTTTTGTCTGGTTAATCTGTATGTATTTCTCCTCGTTTTGTCTGGCTATGTTTGTTTTTCTTTCTATGTGCTGTACTCAGGTCTTTCTTTGATAAGAGCTATTGATCTCAATGAGACAACCTGATTAAATGAAGGTTTTATAAATCCTTTGTGATAAATGACTGCCTGAAATATAGGACCCACAGACATCAGCAGATATTTGATGATTCTCTGCCAGGCCTGTGCTGCTACCATCTGCACTTTTTGCTTGCTTCAGGTCCTTTTTTGCCTTCAGTTTGGTCTTTAGCAAGTTAAATGCATCTCAGCCGGACTGAGATCAGGTGACTGACCTGGCTAGTCGAGAACACCCCTGGCCCCCCAAAAACTCATTGGTGGGTTGCCTGTATGATAAGGATCACTTTCCTGCTTCATTGTCCTAAAATTGGGGGACCATACCAAATCACACCACACCACAATTAAGGGAATAAATAAATAAAGTAGAATATGACCTCATGCCATATCACACTAAGTATTGTTGGAAGCTTCATTCAATAATAGAGGATGTTCTGTGGACAGAAAATATACTATTTTAGATGAAAGTATTGGGGTGAATATGTTTTGTATACGACCATAAAATGTGAGAAACTATAGACAGGTAAGGGTAAAAGCAGAAAGGGTAAAGAATGGGGAGGAGAGGACAGAGTGAGAAAGGAAGATAAGTCAGTGAAAAGGAAGAGGATGTGGGAATGCATAAAACAGAGACAAAAAGATGGATGAAGAAAATAACAATGTAGAGAAAAGAGAAATGGGACAGAAAAAGGCTGGGAAAGAGGGAGAAAGACAAAACAGGAAGAAGAAAGATATGAGCTGGGCAGCTTCAGCAACAGCCTTACTGAAAACCACTAAAACGCATATACACACACACCAAAGTACATGGTAAGGGACACACACATATGCATGTATACACAAACACACGCATGTATTCAGAACATTAAGTATATGCATTATGCACACACATAACTAGGTACATAAATTCATGCAATAATTGTGACTTGTAAGAAATGCACACCACAATCTCTCCACACACACACACAC